CTGGGGAACTTGCTTACAGAGCTGTACTACATGGTAAATCCTTCTCTCCCCAAGACGGGCTGCTCTGACAGCAGCGGGTGGAGGGTGGGGCAGGCAGAAGGCCCGTCACGTGTACTTCTCACCTTCTGGGGACCACCCGCTTCCCAAAGCACCGCGACCTCATGAGCACGCTCCTCCCGGGCCCAGGCTGGGTGAGTGGCAGGGCCTTTGGGCAAGAAACCCTGGTGGTGGGCTAGGCGTCATCCTTCTCCCCAACCCCACGTGGCACCTGAACTGCGTGGGGCACTGTGCTGGCTTGGCTCCAAGGACTGAAGGTGGTGGTGGCGCCTTCTGCCTTCCAGGAGAGGGGCTGTCTTTGCCAACCCCAAGCCCTTGAGCCCCTGTTCTTCTAAAGTGTCTTCTCTTCTCCCGGGCCCTGTAGGGACCACCTCTTAGTTGTTAACAAGTGAGTACTTGGCAAGTTTTGCACCCCATGTTTGTGTCCTTTCCATCTGAGTGTGAAGCTCTTTAGCCCCAAGGGCCTGTTTCCAGAATTGCCACGAGTGGTGAGTGATTCTTCCTTCAGAGAACAGACACCTGGGATTTTTCCTTTAGTGTTTATGTACATGCAGATTAATTTATATATACACATAGATACAGGACAAATACTCACTTTGATACTTTACTCAGAAGATGTACATCTGAGGTGTGCACCTGAGGAATCTAGTGGCGTGTGGGTGCCGGGGACAGTAGCCTGTGTTGAAGGCAGTGCTGGGATCCCAGGTGCGGCTGGGGTGGCCCAGCCGGAAACCATCAGTGTCTGAGACACCACCCTGCGGGCCCCGCTCCAAGTCCTGCACATACTGGCCAGAGGGTTGTGTCTTTAGAGAGGGTTTTCTTGGTTATTTAATTTGTGTTCATATTTCATTTACAACCCAAACAGCAAAACAAAAAACGAATTACGTGGTAGACAAGTTGGTGCAGGACATAGGGACCCCGCCTCGGCACCAGCCTGTCTTTGAAAGGTGGGAAAGCTCCGTCCGGTGCTGCCGCCTGGGCGTGTTTTCCTCACAGATGTTCGCTCTCCCGGCGCCCAGGGCCACCCCGCACATGGCAGGACCGCCCAGGTAAGGAGCCCCGCAGACTGGATGGTTCCTCCCCCCCACTGTGCTCTTGGACCGGATTGGGTAGTGGGGTTGGAGCCTCAGACAATGAAAGGTGAAGGCAAGAGAGACAGGTCAGCGAGCGGGTGGCCCAGGAGATGTTGCAGCAGGTGCACAGGGCTTTGGGCGCTTGAGGAATACAGCTGCCCCGGCTCGCGGAAGCACGCTGGCCCGGAACTGGAACTGCACCCCGTGCGTCGGGCCCCTGTCCTGTTGTGAGACATCACTGCGGTTTTGCACACCGCCGGAGGGTGTCTGTGACGCCGCCTCCATTAAGAAGGCAGCCTGTGGGCTGTAGAGCTGAGAGAGGTGGGACGGGGTTTCCTAAAGTGACTGGTCGTTCCCCTCTTCTCCCGACGCACTTGGACTTGTCACGGTAGTAAAATCTTTGGTGTTTCTTGTTGCCTGTCTTGCACGTTTGGTTTATTAATATTTTTACACGGAGTTGTAGATCCAGTTTTAATGGGTGAAACTAGATCATCATTCTGATCAGAGAAATCTGAATTTATGATACATACACTTTGCATATTAAAAAAATTTTTTTTAATGTTTTTTTTTGAGAGAGAGAAACAGAGCGCAAACTGGGACAGAGGCAGAGAGAGAGAGAGACACAGAATCCGAAGCAGGCTCCAGGCTCTGAGCTGTCAGCACAGAACCCAACACGGGGCTCAAACCCACGAACTGCCAGATCATGACCTGAGCCAAAGTTGGATGCTTAACCAACTGAGCCACCCAGGCGCCCCTACTTTGCATATTTTGATTACTTATTTGAATTCTTGACTATTAAAGAGCTTTTTGATTTGAGAGGAGCGTTCCCATTTTTGGGAGTCGAGGGTTCCAGAGTGTTGGATGGCCTGTTTGGGGTTTGGTAGCATCATGTGACTTAGAGCTCCTGGCTTGGCCAAGCTTCGTGGGTGACCAAAGCACCAGGACCTGAAGGCCTGCTTTCCGGAAGGACAGGTGCGGGCGCTGGGCAGGGTGCTGTACTGACGGTGCCGTCCGAGCTGGCCGTGGGAGGCTGACCCACCGGGAAGTTTCTGCAGGTTTTCCAGGCTGAGTTGTGGCTCTTATCCTGCACAGGTCCTGTGTTACCTCCCTCTCCCCTCTGGCTCTGGGACATCTGTGCCGGGCCGCCTTCCATGGAGGGTGGGCGTTGGCCTTTCTGGCTGGGTGCTCGCCTTGTCTGTACACCCTTCTCGGCAGCCTGCCTGTGCTGCCCGCTCTCGGCCCTGTTGCCTTGTGTCTGCCTGTTCTCTTCTTGTACCGAGATCCTTGGGTTTGAGCAGCTTTGTCAGTTTAAATGCCACAGTCCACGTGGATAAAGGCACTTTGTAGAAGAGAACCAGCCAAACCAAACCTGAAATTTGGGTTTTTTCTAATTTTCCCCCCTTTTCCTTGCTCAGAGTTTACTCAGGGCAGGTTATTGATTTGACCCACCTTTTGTATTAAGTTTACATTTTCCTTTATCTTATCAATGTGGAAGGCTCAGTTGTAAGCCGGAGAAGAAAAATCCTGTAGATGTGCTAGGGTCCACACAGCTACTTCCAGGCCAGAGCCAGCAGCTTCCTGGGGCAGGAGGCAAACAGGGCTGGGCTCTCCTCACTACTGCCCGGGGCCGTCTCCAGGTCTCCTGACTCCACTGCTTTGCTGAGGAGCACAGGCTCGCCTAGCCTTCTTCCTGCCCAGACCTTGGGGTGCATCTCCGTGTGGCTTGGGGACCGTGTGGCACCTGAGAAAGCAGGGAGTGGGGAGCCGAGCTTTCTTTTGAATGGACCCCTCCCCAAGCCCGGCTTCAATCTGAGGTAACCATCGTGCTGTTTCTCTGGCCACTTAGAACAGCCAGGCTGTGCGACACCAGGGCTGAGAAAACTAGGCAACGTCTCAACAAAGTGACGGGTTTTGATTTGGGCCAAGTGCCTGGGTAGAGGTGACGATCATGAGTGCCACCCAGGCAAGCTCTGAGTCCCACACGGAATGGCGAGGCCTGTGTTGTGTACCTTGGCACCGGTTGTCCCAGGAAGGCAGTTCACTGAGCCACCCAGCATCTGTATGTGGGGGGTGTAAAGTAAAGGGCTCAGGGCATTTGGCCCGGGGGGTGATCCAGGGTCTGCTTTTCTGTTCTTCAGTCCTGCGCGCACTTGTGAAGACTGGCCACTAACCTGGCCTGTCTTCACCAGACTGGAGATTGGACAGCCCGGATCCAGCAGGAAGCAGCGATTCTACCTGCCAAAGTCCGGAGCAGGGGCAGAAACCTGATGCCCGGCACGGCCTAGGCAGGCGCTGCTCACCCCATGGACAAGGGTGGGAGCAAGCACCTGCTGCCTTGACTTTTAAAAACGCTCTCCTTGGTTTGCAGGACCGCCAGGATCCGCAAAGAGCATATGACTACTGCTCTGCTGTCACCAGCCCCAAGGCTTTAGCAGCCCTCAGCGCCTGGCCCTTGTGGCTGCTCAGGCTGCAGCCAGAAGGAGGGGTCTGCACAGCGAGCAGGGCCCTTCTGGCGGGGGCAGGGGTAGCTGCCTTCTCTTCTGCTGTCTGCTGGGGGCAGGTGGCAAGCCAGGGTACCGGAGAGGGGTCTGAGCGTCCACCTGCCGTTAGTGCCTCTTCTTCTGGAGCCTGGCCCTCCTCTGTGTGCACGTGCGTACCCCTGAGCACTTGAATGTCGATGAATAGCTTTTCCTGGCTAATGCTTTTATAACTGTTGTTCCTTTCCACTCTAAGTGGGTGACTTAGGAGTATTTGAAAGAAGCATTCGGCTGGAGCCGAAGGTAAATTGTCCAGGGTAAGGACTGTTTGGAGTCCCTGAATATAGAAAGCTACAAGTGCGTGGTCTTTCCCAGGAGTCAAACCCCAGAGTAGATACACTGGTGGAGGGGAACAATCTACTCACGTAGTAGCTGTTCTGTCATTTGTGTTTAGAGAGAGAGATGGTCACTCATCCTTGGTTCCTGCCCCCACACAGTGACCTCATTCTTGCAGTTTGCTTGAAATGCTGGTGGGGCAGGAGTCCCAGGCTGTGTGGAGCTGGCTGGAGGGGGAGCCGGGCCGCCCTCAGTACAGACCCAGCGTGGTCCTCGGGCCAGGGGAGAAGGGGTGGCCCGTGCAGAGGCGTTCCTGCGCTGCCGCGCCATTTAGCTGTGTCGGGAAAACCCGACTGTGCCATAATCGTTATTACGAAGAAAACGCCAACCAACCTTCCCCTCTCCCCTGCCGGCCATCGTCCATTGAAAGTTAACTGAGCACAGTCTTTGTGGAAGTCAGGGAGGTTGCCAGAGCTGCGGGGTCCTGCCTGAGAGTGCTGATTCCTGGTTTTCTACCATCCATTTACCTTCTGGTCTTCGGAGTGACCAGAGGCCCTGGGAATGGCTGGGGTGCAGTCAGCTTTCGTGCGCCTCCCAGAGAGATGGCTGAAAGACGTGGTCACCTTGGTGCTAAGAGACAACTGCCCTGTTTGCCCAGAGGCAATCTGCAACTTCACCAAACTATACAAGAGGGTCCCCTGACTGCGGTGGCCAGGAGTGAGACCAAACCAAGGGGGCACACTCTGTCGGTCAGGCCTGGGTGGAATGGGGGTTCTTTATCCAGAGTACGTGTTTTTAACAGAAAGCCGTAACTCACCTTTGGACAGTGGCTATGCTGAGGTGGGGGTGGGCTGTCCTCTCTGGGCTGCCTCCAGGCCTCACGAGGTCCCCTGTGGGGATGCTGCTATTTCTAAGATGCAAATTGCACATTTCCTAGATTTTGTATCTGTGGATTTGGAGAAGGGAGGGAGCAGGGACAAACTGCGTATACAATTTGATATGGGCCGAAATGGTACTTCAGATCTTTTGATTGTTCCTAAATAAAAACATAAATATGTTTCACATCTGCTGACTTTATTTTGTGGGGGAGCCAGAAAAACTAGAAACGTTTCACATCTGATTTATTCAGTGGGCAAGCCAGATCTTAAGCTTGGATGGATGAGCAAGGCCGTTCCCCTCAGCCCGCTTCAGGAAAGTTCCTCTCTCCATCTCCCACGCTGCTGTGTCCACAGGCCTGGCTTCTGTGTGACAGAACTGTGAGGTTTCTAGAATTACGCTAAACAGACAAAAGGCAGGAAGGAGTCAGACTCACAGTCATCGGGTGTCTTGTGAGAAAGTGCTGGGAAGTCCTTTTCTTGTCCCTTCCCCCACCCCCTCCCACCCAGTGAGGAGAATGTGCTCAGAAGCAGAGCACTTTCCTCTTTGCTAAGGGGATGCCAGTGAATCGGTTAAGGATGCGGAGGCCTTAAAAGAATAGGATTTTTTTTTTATTTAATTTTTCTTTTTTCAACGTTTATTTATTTTTGGGACAGAGAGAGACAAAGCATGAACGGGGGAGGGGCAGAGAGAGAGGGAGACACAGAATCGGAAACAGGCTCCAGGCTCTGAGCCATCAATCAGCCCAGAGCCCGACGCGGGGCTCGAACTCCCGGACCGCAAGATTGTGACCTGGCTGAAGTCGGACGCTTAACCGACTGCGCCACCCAGGCGCCCCAAAAGAATAGGATTTTTTTAAAAAGCTTAATTTCTGGGGTGCCTGGCTGGCTAGGTTGGTGGAGCATGCGACTCTTAACCTCGGGGTTTTGAGGTCAAGCCCCACGTTGGGTGGTAAAATCTTTTCTAAAAGCCCAGTTCCTAAGATTCAGAGCAAGTGAATCTTGTTGGGGTGACCCCGAGGGCCTGTGACAGGAAAAAGGAAGCCCAGACAGAAAATCACCTGGGGCAGACACACACCAAGGCCGGCCAGTGATTCTGGTCCCAGGTGGACACGGGGGCCTGTTCCCGACTTGGTCCTTCTGGAGGCCAGCTGAAGTCTTGGGAAAACAGCTTTGTGTTGAGTAAAGCAAGAGCAGCCCGGTGTGGCAGCCTGAATGCCACGCAGCTGAAGCCCGGGGTGAGTGCAGACTCGGGCAGGGGCTTTCTGGGACACAACTGTGGGCAAAGTGGGCAGTGGCAGCCCGCTGTGGGTGGCTGAGCTTCCTGGGGGCACTTGCAGTGGCCTCCAGGCAGGAAACGGAACCCCTGCCTGACTCCTGGGCAGGAGTCCCCTGGGGATCATCAGAGGAAGACCCAATGAGGAGTCTCCAGCGGAGACGGGGCTTGATCTCTTTAACTGAGATGTGAGGAGGCAGGAACTTACTCTGTTCTGTGAGCTACTTTGGTGGGATAACCAGATAGTGCTTATGATGGTTTTTCCCTTCTAAAGAACAGAAATGGCGAGACAGGACAGGCTCAAACTTAAAGACAAGTGAGTTTTTAAGGAGCCCCAGCCTCCAGATGATGTCCAGGATGTGTCTGGTCAGGAAGGGGGGTGGGGGGAGGTCTTGTGTCCACATGCTTGTTGCCACAGATCCTTGTTAATGGCACTGTCCTCAACTGGAGTCAGAAACTACTCCTGCCTTCCCCCTTTATAGAGGGGTTCTTGCCCTGACTGCTCTTTTTGCAGGGGCTTCGGAAAGCTGCTGACCTTGCAAGTAGTGCTGTGTGCACGTGTGCACGGGGTGAGAGAAGTACAGGCCTGCAACTCTGAGCAGTTACTTGTCCCTGGTGTGCCAGCCAGCCAGGAGTGGTTCCTATTGGAGACAGCAGGAGAGGAGACTCCCCCTGCAGGGAGCCAGTCCACTTCTCATCTTTGCCCCTGGTACCATGGACTTCCTCTTCCTGACCGTGGTTTTCTGGTTTCCTCTGCCCACACTTGTAGCGTCTCAACCCTGACCTTCCATTCACCCGGGAAAGCTTTTGAAAAATACCTATGCTAGGGCTGTACGCACTGGTATTTTTTAGAAGCTTCCCAGATGATGCGTAACCCAGTGGGTAGAAACTCGTGCCAATCCAAGCTGCCCCACCACAGGGACGTGGCCCACATGCATGACGAGGCAAGCAACTACGCACCATAGGGCAAGACCTTCAGTCTCAAGTGAGGGTTTCCCCTCACCCCCATCCCTTCCCCTTTGTAGGGCCTCATGGGTCGATTAATGAGCTCAGGTCTGTCTGGAGGAAACAGGAGGTGAAACTGATCTGTGTGCTTGCAAGACTGAGACTTGTCCTGTTTTCTACCAGGAAGAAAGATCAAGGCATTTGCAGTGAAAAGCAGTATAGCGTAGCCTGGGAGCCTGGAAGATAGGTGTGCCTCAGGTCCATGAAGCTGCCTTAGGGACGTCAGAGCTGTTCCTCTCCAAGTCATACTCCAGAAAGACACTTGTTCAGTAAATGGGGATTCATCCTGATTAAAATAAAAATGGTCAACACCAAAAAGCCAAGGATGTCCTGTGATGACAGGCAGCCCCTAACCGAGGGGTCAGCACAGAACTCTTCCTTCACACTGGACAAGCTCTCCTGGCCACAAGAACCTGGAGCAAGAAAACCCAGTTTAGAAGTTCAGGCCAACTTCCATCAACTCCCTTGTCGCTGGGAAAAGAACCATCCTTTTGAATAGGACAGATGAAGCTCTAGGGAGAAAGCCAAGGGGCCAGCAAGAACCTGAGCAGTGGGCGCTCTGATACTGGCTCTTATATCTAGTTCAGTGGATGAAAGGAAGTATTTTAAACTGATCCCGGCTCTCCAAGTGGGTGGTGCTCAGAGGGAACTAGAATGAACCAGGACTTGCCCTCAATCTGTCAAATTGGGAATTGTTAGGTCTTGGTCTGACTTATCATATAGGAAAGGGATGCTCTGAACCTGTAACTCTTTTTTTTGAAGAGGGCGCAAGTGAGCAAGGGGGCAGAGAGAGAGACTCGGGGCTCACCCAGGGCTCATGTTCCCTGAAGCAGGGCTCGAGCTCACCCCTTTAAGTGGGCCTCAAACTCATGAACTGTGAGATCATGACCTGAGCTGAAGTCGGGCTTACCGGCCGAGCCACCCACATGCCCCTCAGAACCTGTAATGTAACTCTTAATCAGCCTTGGACTTAACAATCTTGCTCTCCATGCTTTGGTACGTGAATTATCACACCAGCGATACGCTAATTACCATCTTAAGAACCAACTGATTACACTTACCTGCATCTTTTCAGGATCCCTGGGCTGGCTTTTTATGCTCGTCCCCATCCATCCACCAGGCAGGCAGCTCTGTGTGTGGCATCATGTTTGACCTACACCGGCGCAGACCACCATGAAAACAGCCACAGGAAGGTAAGGGCAGTGCCTTTTCAACCACATCTGGGCAGAGATTTGGTTGCAAGCTATCGAGGCAACCAGAGTGGCACCCGGCAACCTCCCTTTGAAAGGCGAGGCTTCTGTGAACTGGGAAAGGGCTCCGGCTGCATCCCGCTCACCAGGGTTGGCAAGCTGCAGGGATTCGGGCTGCTGTCCCCGGACATCCTGTCTGCAGGGGAGCTGGAAGAGCAGGTGTTCTCACCCCACTCCATAGCCCAGAGGAGGGAAGAGATACTTGACCTGGGAAGTTGCCAAAAACTTCCCACCTGCCTGTACCGCACAATAACCACCGGACAAGTTGTCTCCAGACAACCGGCTTCCCGGGGCCCGTGGAAGAGCACCCAAGTTAAAAGGACACGGGGCCGATTTATGTGGCAGTAGATCTTAAGAGGCCAGCACAACTGGCAACTGAGGCCGAATGAGGGCAGTGGGCTTGCGTGTGCCAAGTGCCAGCTGTGCCGAAGGGCACCCTTGTGCCCACGGGCCCGCACCCCTTCGTGGGGCTGCCTTCCCAACCTTCCCGTCTCCTTTCCGGGGTCTTCTCACCAGCTCAATGGAAGCAGCCAGCTGCATGGTGACCGCTCCCTCACCTGCCCACAGCGGGCCAATCCTTAACCCTTTTCTGTCCCTCAGGGAACGCACACTGCGTGGTCTTTGCCTTCGAACAAAAACCACGTGACCAGAACAGGCTTTGCGGTTTTCCTCCCACCCCCGGCCCGTTCCCGACAGCCTTACCATCTGTAGCACAGCTGTCCCCACGTGTCGGGCGGTCGCCGGCCCCTCCCTGTGGCTCTGCTCCAAGGTTGCCCTCCGAAGGTGAGGAGCAAGGAGTGTCACTAACTTTGTTACAGTAATAATACTGCTGTTCTTTTCAAAAGGAAAGCTTTTCTAATAAAATTTACGGTTTTTGTTAACATTCTGATTATACACCAAACGTTGGCAGCCATATGTAGATATGTTTGCTATGGACAGGATTGCGAGGTCATACTTGCAGAGACAACTTTAGAATTAGTTTAAATAAACCAATACATTTTCTCAGAAATTGTATAATTTCCTTCGGTTTACAATCCATGATCTGGGAAGTTTAATGTAATGTTAAATAATTTACTTTCTACCCTAAAAGTAAACTATAGAAAACTGAATCACTATTAGGATTGAATAACAAGGCTTTAACGGCTCAGTGGTTTTTCTTAAGAGTATATAAATATATAAATCTTGAAAAGGTAACACTGTTAGTTGAGCTGTAAAATCCATAAAAATAACAGTTCTGCCACAGTGCACAGACCAGTTCATTCGTTTTGCTTCCCCCACCCCGCAACCAAGCAGCTTTCCGGTTAGAAGTGGAAGACAGAGAAAATCATACATCCTATGTGAAATAATCAACATGGTAGGAAACGGTGTGCAAAAAATAACCTTTAAAATTCCATACTCCAACATCACAGATGCCCAGCAAGAGGACTTTCAACTGGTTTAATGAATATTTGGGCTGATCTCCACATCCTCCCACAGTGCTGTCCGCAGACTCAGAGCCCAGGTCTTATGCTGCAACAGGGAGAGTGGTCTTCGGTCTGGAACAGGACGGGGGTGGGGGGGAGGGGTCCCCTAGCCGACCTGCTGAAGGGTGCCTTGAAGAAGGGCCTGTCAGTTGTGTGCAGGAGCTTCCCAAAGGTACTGGGGAAAATCCCCGGCGTGGCCTGCGACCTGCTCCTCCGTTCTGGCCACGCCGGCACCCATCTCCGACAAAGGCCTCAAGTCCGCTGACCTTGCTGTTAGACCTTCCGTTGCTCGGTGGCCTCTGCGTCAGAGCGAGGCACGCCCTCCCAACGTGGCAGGAGCTGCTGTGCTCGGCCAGCACGGCCACACACTCGTCTACCCTAGTGAGCAGGTCCGGATTCCAGGCTCACATCCCGAGTGTCAACCTTGGGCTGCCTCCCGGCTTTGGGCAGCAGGCAGGTGGTGCAGCCCAAGGCAGGGCAGGACATCCGGGTCCCCCTCATCCTCCCATGGTCCTGAGGGGCTGCTGTCCCCATTCCAGGCAGCGCCCTGGGCCTTGGCCTCCTCAGGCCCCTCACACAGTGGCCTGCAGGGCGACCCTCCATGGCCCACAGCAGCCTGGCTTAACCAATGCTGCTATTTCTAACACGATCCCCTGTATCTTGGAGGCTGGGCTGTGTTCCCAGCCACGGGCAACATGCCCTTGTGCTGTGTCCTCTTCCTTGAGCAGGGGGGGACCCTCTCCAGGCAGGTCCTGTGCTCCTCTGCCCTGGCTCCAGGGCCAAACCGTGGGGGCATCTACCCCCACCCCTGCCCGGCTGGGGTTTTAAAGCTACAGGACAATGTAAACTTGGGTTTGTTTCCCTGGCCCCATGAGGCTGCTGCGGTTCCTTAGAGCCTCCTGTGCCACAGGCTAAGGCAGCCTCTCTCCAAGGGGCTGCAGCCATGGTCCTGGCCCCATAGATGGAAAGCTCCATCTCCAGAAGTCAGGACCAGAGGTGTGTGCTTAATTAATTTGAGACACGGTACAGTGTTTGCCTTCCCCCAGAGCTGGGGCACAGAGGCCCCGAACAGTAAAACAACTCATTAATGGCTTGGTTTTGTCTAGCAGTCACTGCTGGAATCCAGGCTCCAGGCTACGAGGCCAGGAAGGCTGCCACGACAGGCCACTTCTCAAGAACCCGGCTCACGGCACTCCACGAGGTGCATGGCACCCGCTGCTCTCAACGAGGCTGGCACACAACTAGAGGCGGTTGTCCCCGTTGACCCGAGTCCTTCGTGGGGCCCTGGACACAAGGAGAGAGTGTCCTTACCAGCGGTGGGGCCTCAGAGTGCAGTGGGACAGCCCAAAGCCATACAACTGTAACTTCCACCCACCCAGGAGGCAAGAGAAGGACCCGGAGGGGCAGCAAGCACTTCTTCCCATCGCTCCCACCATCCCCCGCCTCCAAGCTGCACACTGGCCACCCATCCTCCAGCCCCTCACCTCCGTTCCCGACTGTCAAAATGGTCTGCCAGATGCTCTTGGGAGATACGAAAGTCCTCAAACGGCTGCTGGTAGCGGGCTTCAAAGGAACCTTCCCGGCCCCGGCCATGGAACAGCTGACCCGAGGTATCGGAGCCCCGCTCGCGCAGAGACATACTACTGAAGGGACTGACGTCACCGTTCTCCTGCTTCAACAAGGGCGGTGCACGAGAGATCAGTGCCTCCCCGGGGCCTTATGAGGCTGCTGCCTGGCTCCTCCCCAGCCCCCCTTCCTCGTGCTCACCTTGGCAGGGAAAACCTCGATCTTGATGAGCAGGGAGGCCAGCTCCAGGTCCTCACTGTAGTTGTTCTTCAAAGGCACGGCTCTGTATCCTAGGAGAAGGCCTGGCCCTCAGCCCAGGAGGGAGCCAAGCAGGGGCCTGCGCCCCCCCACCCCCACCCCGTCCCCAAGCTAGATCCCGGGCACTGTCTCTAGGAAGGATCCTCACCTGCCTTCAAGCCCTTTACTGGGAAGGTGGCCTGAGCCAGGAAGTTCTGGTCACTGAACATGTCCTCCTCATACACCACAAAGCGCAGGAAGGCGAATTCCGGGTTACTGATCTGGAAGTGGAAGGGCTTGGCGGGCCAAACAGGGTTCAGTCCGTTGTCCACTGCAAAAGTCAGGGCAGAAGGCCTCAGGCCACCACCAAGAGAGGACAGGGTCACTGGCGTGGTTGAGTGGGGAAGGCAGACCTACCCACAAATTCTGTCTTCTGTTTGATGCTGTCATACTCTGCTCCGGCCACCTCAATCTCCACAAAAGGACACACGATGCCTCGGCCATTCTTCGGCAGGTGCCGGGCCCCCAGCACCTGTAAGGCAGGGTAGAGATGGGCTGGGGGACTGTCCTTTCCACTCCCTCCAAGTCCTCACTATGCAGTGGAGGCAGTGCGCCCTCTGCTGGGCCCCAAAGACACGGCCCACTAAGTGGCTCATGGCATCAGGGCCCTGAGCAGTGGTATTGGAAGAAGCTTCAGCCAAACTTCTCATGGGAGTTTCTGCAATCTACTTCATCAAACTCATGTCTGTTTCAATATGCAAATCTTTTAAGTTACTTCCCCACAAAGTAAAAAAAAAAAAAAAAAAATCGAAGTCTCTTCTCGGTAAAGCAGTACCCACTCACCTTGTGCTATCCTCACCTCCTTCAACACTGCTCAGCCCCACGCGCCCCGCACCCCACAGCTTCTCACCAGGGGGCATCAAGTGCTCAGGGACTGTTCTAAAAGAGAGCTGGGGATGGGGGTCACTCTCCCTCAAGCCCCATTCCAGTAAGTGCCGTCCCGCTGGCTCCTGCGGATAGCTCACCACGGGCCCTGGTTTCCTGTCCTGCCAGGCAGCGGCTACCCATGGCCTCACTGGACAGCCTGACTCTTCAGTGCCAAGAACTGGCTACATTTAGCCCACCTGCCTCGGGCTTTCGCCACTCTGGGCCCAGCCCCACGGTGGAGACTTGCAGCTGCCTTCCTATCTCAGAGGACAGTCACACTTTCCTCACGCTCAGGAGCCAGTTTGGTGCCCCCCACCAGTCACACAAACTGGCACCCCATCCCTGACTCCAGAAACGAGCCCCAGAAGAGCAACCCCTGCCCACCCTAAAGCC